AAAAACTGTAAAAAAAAAACCTTCACTCCTGGAGCTCCCATGGACTGTGTGCACAGAACAAAATGATCCTAACCCTCTCCTTACCCAGGAGGCTCTGAGAGCTAAAACAGCTGTGGAAGATGAGTGGCAGCTGATCAGCCAATCAACGAACAACAGACAGATGATAGGCTCCATTTGTGACGCTGATGATGGAGGAAGCCAAGTTGCCCTGCCCAGCTGTGCTCAGAACCTCTCAACTGAAAGAGAATAACAGATGTTCATTAAAAACAATGAAACAAAAAGAACAGCAACTACAAATCTAAAACATAATTTTTGCTACACAAACACATGCCAATGAATATTTGGAGAATAAGAACAATTTTTGCCGGCCCTCACAGGGCGTCTAGATGACAAATTCAGAGAAAAGAGTCTACATATTTCTAACGTCCATCACATTTCCATGATGAACTCCAGAGAATATGAGACACTGTCTCGGTATTTACCACAGAGCAATTCTCAAGGCTTGCGCTGGGTTTGTTTAGAGCCAGGGCAAACATAGGCATGGACTACCTATTCCCAAGGCAAGGAGAACTGATGGAGCAAGATGGGTAGCTGAGAACGTTGTCCTGTTACTTCATATAAAAATCATCACATTAAATAAACACATCTGGTGTGAATTTACCAACATAGAAGAAAATAACAGTAAGCCACCCAGATACACTTTTAAAGGATTTAAAATGGTCTTTATCCAAATAAGGAACAAACTCTAGGACTGGGTCCTCAGGGATGGATGCATTAAGTAATAAAGGGAGGCAGCCAGAGGTTAAGTGAAGAAAAGTGAAGAACCTCCATAGAGAAGAATGGTTGCTCACAGCCTATTCTTCAAAAGCTTCACCTTGCCGCCTCAGCCATGGTCAGTGTGTGTGTAGACCATATCTGATCTCGTGAATTCTATCAAGGGCAAGGAAGGTGCCAGAACAGTTTTGAAAGCCTTTTTGGCATCTAGGGCTGGTGTTCGGGGTCTGGTCTATATTTGTGGCTTTGTCTTACTGTAACCTGCCTTCAAAACTCTCCTAGCTCACTTATGAGAAGAGTTACAACTCCACCTTAGTACCAAGAATCCTGGCCACCCAACTCTCTCCTTTGAATTTAGGGAAGGGAAGATCAAACTAGTTTCAATAAATGAGGGGTTGAACATGTCTAGGAAACAGTTTCTTAGTAATTCACTGTTAAGGTGAGATTTACCATAAGAACTTGAAGTTGTACTTCTGAGAGTTGAGAGAGCAGAATTTGACTCAATTAGGCCTTCAGACTGATGTGCTTGACCCCAACATGCTAAAAGCAGGTCAAGCAGCCAAGACAGGGTTCTTGAGGCAAAGGTCACAAGCAGAGCTGGACAGACCTAGTTCAGAAGTAAACAGCTGAGTGTAGGCGTGTTGAATGCCCTGAAAATATTAATATGACCTACAGTCACCTGTAATTGCATTCACTGACCAACATCTCATGAGATGCTTTCTGACATTAGTTTTGGTCTAATGCAGTAATGGCATTATCTTGGGTTTCTAAAGAAGTTTCTCATGCAAGTTTAAACTTCTTCAATTGACATACACCTGCTCTTTCTGTTGAGAATGCTGTAGGATAGGAAAGTTCAAATCATTTCTTTAAAATATGCGTACAGTGTACCTCATTTTACATGTTCGTTTCCAAAAGCTCCCTTTGAAAGCACAAAGGATTCTTGTCACTGAGCAAAAGTTTAATCCTGAAGAAGGCCACTAAAGGGACCAGCAGTTAGCATAATGGCTATGTCACTAGACTTTCACGTAGTCAACCATGGTTCGCATCCCGGACCTGGTGGCTTAAAACTCACGCCGGGTGCGTGTGCGTGCGTGCCCAAGATCCTGAGAGGAGAATGGAGTAGAAGGGATTGCAGCGTGACCATCCCCCCTGGGGGGTGATTTCTCACTTTCTGTCTCTCTGTCTTTCTCTGTTTGTCTGGCAAGCGCACATGCCCTATAGCAAAAACCTCTTCAAAAAAAAAAAAAAGAAGGCCACTAAAAGTAACCAATTTCAACAGGCATTAAATGTCATTTTAAAGTTTGTTTGGAATCTTGAAATCTGAGAAAATATTTAAAAATTGTTTTTTATTTTATATTTAACAAAGTAAGCTGTAATCACAAATGTGCACTGAATTCTTAGAATAACAAAAGTCTCGGGAACCAGCAGTTGGCGTAATGGCTATGTCGCTGGACTCCCACGTAGTCGACCGCGGTTCGCGTCCGGGACCTGGTGGCTTAAAACTCATGCCGGGCGCGTGTGCGTGCGTGCCCAAGATCCCGAGAGGAGAATGGAGGAGAAAGGATTGCGGCGTGACCATCCCCCCTGGGGGGTGATTTCTCGCTTTCTGTCTCTCTGTCTCTCTCTGTCTGTCTGGCGAGCGCATGCACCCTATAGCGAAAACCTCTCCAAAAAAAAAGAATAACAAAAGTCTCTCAGCTGTTGATTTGGGCTAAAATTTTCCCAACAAAAATGCTTCATCGCATGACTTAGTAACCACTGCTTCACAGTTAGACTTTTATAGTACATTCCCAATGGGAACCATGGTTTCAGGCGTATTCAGTACTGTTTAAATTTTCTTAAAGACTCATTTTAATTTGCCACTAGCCAAATAATTGTCACTTGAAGTGCAAATTATTTTTTCATTCGTGTTGGTTTTCTCCTCTGCCAGGCCCAATTGTTAATATCTTTGCTTTATCATGTGATTTTAGCAGTTCTTGACCATTTCCTATTTGATAAAGGTGCTAATTTATGAATAAAAGGTATTGCATGGAGAAGAATGTTTAGGAACTAATTTTGGTAAGTAAAAAGTAACTATTAGTAAATATTTTTTGTTATGATGACATTTGCTTCCCAAACTGTGTGTGTTTTAGATGACAATTCTGATAAATATTTCATGTAAATATTTTTATTCTCAAAAAAAGTTAGATCCAGGATGGAGAAATGGAACAAAAAGGATTGTGGCATGACCATGCCCCATCAGGGGTGCTTTCTCTGGCTTTCCCTTTGTCTCTTTCTCTCTCTCTGTCTCTTTCTTTGTCTCTCTTACACATGCACCCTCTGGCAATCAAAAAGATTTGTAAATAGGAAGTAAGGACAATTATATCAATTTATACATAGTAATTAGAGTAACCATATATTTCTAGAATCTTCAAGGTTAAGTATTCACCTGGTTTAGCTACTCACCTAATGATTATATTTTCTGCTAAAGACTCTCTATTTACCATTTTCTGCAATAGGGAGCTTACTTTCTCCCCAGCTATTTCCATCTTTGAGCAGCTCTTATATTTATAATATTTTCCTTGTAGTATGCTGAAATGTTCTCTAATATCTAAGCTTGTGAAAGTACAGCTGAAAGGATGCTGGAAAACATAGTGGAGAAAAAGGAGAAAAAAATCGGCGGGATAATTTTTTCTTTGAAGTAAGTTGAATTTGACTAATAGAGCAAACATTTCACTGGCTCTGTTGCAGCTGGAAATGCAAGAGAGAAAGTAGTTTCTTAAAACATCAGATTGTCAAACTACAGAAACAATAATTTCAAATCTCTTTCCAAGTACTTGTGTCACATCAATAAACTGTGTGAATACTATTCACTTGCACATAATAAATACTTGTTTAAAAACCCTTTAAATTATTGTTTTATGCTCTATTTCTATCAATAGTCACTTATTCATACAGAAATCTTGATCATTCGGACATACTAGCTCACCATAAATAGGTATACATGTGTCATGTTTTTAATGGCCATCTATTTTGAGACATTTTAAAATTAAAAATAAAATTAAAGTCATAATCTCCCAGTTGCCTTTTTTTAATTTTATTTTTAAACTTCTGAATAGCGAGGTTAATTTAGGTTCGACATGGTAAAAACAAATTCTTTCCATCTTATTCAAGTTTGGACTCAGGCAAACTCTTTTTACAACCAAGTTATTAAAACTCTTAATTAATGAAATAACTACTTCTCAATTTCTAAATCATGCTATTGAGCTGCTCTTTAATTGAAAACAGAGGCTCTACAGCTCTGCCTTCCCTTAGTATACAGTGATGTTCACTCTGCAGTGTGTTCATAATTCCAGTAAATTTCAGGCAATCCAGACTCAGACTATCAAATGGTTTTCTCCTGAAGACCATGACCCTGAGAGCATGCGTTCTTCTTGGATTCCTATAAGCTATTATACATCACACTCATCTGCTGGTCAAATTTAAAAACTTCTTTGCGGGAAGAAATCTTAGGGAACCAAGTTCCACTCAGATATTGCATTGCAGCCATTTGTTATTCCATTCAGCTATGACCCTGCAGACGTCTCATTCACTCCTTTCTGCTCGGCTCAACTTCAGTCCATCACTGGGTTTCCATTGTTACTGCTTGGATCACCGCCTCTGTCCCAACTATTTTCAGGTTAGAGGATACTTGAGTTTTCTCTCTGAAGTTCTCTGATCACTCGAGAAAGCAAGATCTGTCTTACCTGATTCTTCAGATTTTATTCTTGAATTCTTATTGGATTTTAATCTGTAAACTAAACTTCCCAAACATCTTCTCTGGTATCCTGGGCTGCTTCTCACAGTCTGAGGAAACTCTATGCTGATTTCATCCAATCACAGTGCTTTCTGGCTGATCTCTTTCCAGGTTTGGTGACATTTAGAATCACCGTATGCCCTGATTTTCCTGGAATCAGTTTATACCTGGGTATGCTCTGGGGATTATTAAAAGTGGACCCTTCTCATTCTTAAAGGCACCCTGGTTTGGATAATAATGAAAAGGTTGGGAACCAGCAGTTAGCGTAATGGTTATGTCGCTGGACTCCCACGTAGTTGACCACGGTTCACGTCCTGGACCTGGTGGCTTAAAACTCATGCCGGGCACATGTGCGTGCCTGCCCAAGATCCCGAGAAGAGAATGGAGGAGAAGGGATTGCGGCGTGACCATCACCCCTGGGAGGTGATTTCTCGCTTTCTGTCTCTATGTCTCCCTCTGTCTGTCTGGCGATCGCACGCGCCCTATAGCAAAAAAATCCTCTCCAAAAAAAAGGTTAACCTAGCCAGCTAATGACTTCTTTGCAAACCAATAAACTTTATTTTTAAAAATTACTTTCAGTGGTTTTCTTTAATTCATCCTTTGTGTTTTTCAAAAACATGTGGACCTCCCCAGCACATAGGTCAAGGACTCTACGTTAGTTATCTATTGCTACATAACAAATTATTCCAAGATTTTAAACAATAGGTATTTATCATTTCACACAGTTACTATGGGTCAGGAATTTGAAAGTAGCTGAGCTGAGCAGTTCCGGCTCGGGGTCTCTCATGAGGTTGCAGTCCAGATGTTGATTAGGGTTATCATTTCCTGGAATAGAGCTGGAGAGTGTGCTTCTAAGGTATCGTGCTGATGAGGAAGATGAGTCAGTTCTGGTTGTTGACAGGGAGCTTCATCTCTTTAGCATGTGGGCTCTCCTTGGGCTGCTTGAGTGTTTTCTCAAGAAGGCAGTTGGCTTCTCTCAGAGCAAGTTATCTAAAAAAGGGGAAGGCAGAAGTCACAATGTCTTTTCTGACCTAGTCTTAGAAATTACATTAAGTCATTCTATAATATCTAATGGGTTGCATGGTACATGTGGGAAAGGGCTGTGGAAGGGACCACAGAAGAATTTGAGAATATGTTTATATCCATTTATATGTATATATATATATAAGATAAATACATTTAAATAATAATAAACCTTGGGTGAGTATAAATAAACATCATTACTTAAGTATAATCAGAGATTTTCACCCTTATATTTCAGTTACCAATGATTGCTTAATTGCTGATTTTCCTTTTCTGACTAAAGCAGAAAAGAATTCCCTACTCTTTTTGAAATGTCGCTTTGAAAAGAAAGCCTATAGGTTGAGACCATTTGTTACATTATTCATTCACTTATTTGACAGCATATAATTTGCTAATTGCTGTGCTAGATCCTGAGGACATAGTCTTTGCTTTAAAATTGCTGAGTGTTTAGGGTAGAAAAAAATATTGAAAAAGAGGATAGCTCTGTGGCATAATAATAATCTGCTGCTCTAGAGAAGCCAGGTCTCAGATGGGGATTGCTGTTCAGATCCCCAGCTCAGTCAGCCCGAAACATACCGGGCATGCTGGGTGCCCGAGCTCAGGATCCAACAGCTTGGAGGAAGGGTATTGCGGTGTGACCACATCCTCTGGGAGGTGCTCCTCTCTTTCTCTCTCCTTGTCTCTCTCTCACACTGTGACATGAACATACATGAGCCTTATCATGAAGATAGAAATGAAAAAGAACAAAAGATGGGAAAGAAAGACACACACACACACACACACACACACACACACACAAAGCAGAGAGGCACCAACTTCAGCCTGGCTGGGGAGAAGCCAAAAAACTCTTCCAAGTATTAGGATGAAACATTTCAATATAACGTTAGGTTCTTGTTTGTTTTAATTGCTAGAGGGCGTGTGCACTCACCAGAGAGACAGAGTCATAGGAAAAGAGGAATAAATCTTCCCCCTAATAGAATAAGGTCACACGACAATCCTTTCTCCCCATTTCTCCATCCTGTTGGGATTTGGGGCATACAGACACATGTGCCCAGTGTGTTTTTCAAGTCACTGGGGTGGGATTTGAACTGCTATGTGAGATCCAGCTCCCCTAGCCAGTAGGCTACTGGGCCAGTCCTGAGTAAAGTCTTAATGAATAAGAATTAGGCAGGCAGATAAAAGGTGACATGGGAGGGACATTCAAGATGGAAGGAATATTGTAACCATGGAGAACATAGGAGAGAAAAAGGTGCACTGGGAATGATTAGAAGGCTAGTTTGCAGAGTAGATGTGCAAAGGGGCAGGGGAATCAACCTGGTACATAATGGAATAGACTATGAAAGGCCTCAAGAACCTCAGTTTAACCTAAACTTTAACTTGTGAGCAATGAGGAAACTGTTGAAAAATTTGCAGCAGGAACAAAACACAAGTTTGAGGCCAGCAGGCCCAGTGCTGGACTCCCATGTAGTCAATCACAAGTTGAGTCCCAGACCCCAGTGTCTTGAAACTCATACTGGGTGCATGTGTGTGCATGCCAAGATCCCAAGAGGAGAATGGAGGAGAAGGGATTGTGGCATGGCCAGCCCCCCATGGGGTGATTTTTTTACTTTCTATCTTTCTGTCTCTCCAGTAAGTACATGCACCCTATAGCAAAAAGTCTCTCAAAAAACAACAACAACAACAAAAAAAATTGAAGTTTTAGGAAAATTCTAGTGGGGCTGGTCCTGTAGTGAAGCACAGTGAATCGGGAGCAAGATTCCACATGGCTATCCATGGTTGGATTCCTAGCTTAACCAACCCCGGAAGTTTAAAAAACATGCTGAGCACATGCATGCCCAAAATTCTGATGGGAGGAGGAAATGGAAGAAAAGGATCATGGTATGGTCATGCCAGTTGAGGGAGTTCTCTCTCTCTTCTCTCTCTTTCAACTGCAAATGCCCTCTGGCAGTAAAATTTAAAAAGAAAAGAAAATTAAGTGATAGACGTTTGGATGATGGTTGGAGAGGCTGAATACTGATTGGAAGACTATTACAGTCATAGAGATGAGAACCAGCGAGCAGAAAATACAAGGGGCTCTGGCTCTGGATTTCATGACAAATTGGCAGGGCAATATTTAGGTCCCCTCCTGTGTTGACTGTTAGGTTTTGCCTTAGGCTGGAAGTCTATATTTAGGAATACTCTGTTTTTAAATGTTTTTCTTTTTAAAGAGGTTTTTGCTATAGGGAGCATGCCCTCACCAGAAAGACAGAGAGAGACAAAGGAACAGAAAGTGAAAAACCCCCCCCCCCCCCCCAGGAGAGATGGCCACACAACAATCCCTTCTCCCCCATTCTCCTCTCGGGATCTTGGGCACGCATGCACACACACCTGGCGTGAATTTGAGCTACTGGGTCTGGGACTTGAACCACAGTTGACTACATGGGAGTCCAGTGACATAGCCATTATGCCAACTGCTGGTCCCCATTTATGAATACTCTTGTATAGGTGCCATTAGCTGAGTTCCAGCACTGGTCATAAAATGGTCAGCACATTTTGTGCCTGAAAAGTAACGTTCACAGTCAAATTCAGAGACAGAAAGTAGAATAGTGTTTACTAGGGAAGAAGGAAAAAGTGGTACAGAGTTTCGATCTGGAATGATAAAGGTGTTCTGAAGATGGATAGTGGTGATGGTTGCACAACCATATGAATGCACTTAATGCTACTGAACTGTACATTCGAAAGAGATTAATTTATATCATGCTATCACACACACAAAATATTGAGAGCTTCTGGAGCAAGCCAACCTAATAGCTTGTCCTACCCTGGATTATTTCAATAGTGTGAGCTGACAAATTTAATACTGTTAACACAAGTTTGATGTGGCTTTTCTTTTATTTGAACCATGAAGCACTCTAATAAAATTATTTAAAAAAAATAACTTTCAGGACACCTGTAGGCCCCAGAGAGAGAGAGACAAGGAGAGAAGGGAGAGGGAGAAGGCACACCCTATGGGGAAGGGTCACACCACAATCCTTTCTCCTCCATCTCTCCCACTTTTTGAAATTTTGGGTACATGCATGCACATATGTCTGATGTGTTTTTTCAAACCAGCAGGTCTAGAACTTGAATCATGCCATAGGCTATGCGAGATCTAACCACTTTAACCACCATGCCACAGACTGGTCACTCTGTTTATATAAAAACATTGAGGTTTGCAGGTGGTGGGGTGGTGAAGGCACTGGACTCTCAGATGAACAACCACAATTTGAGTCCTGGACCTGGTGGCTTGAAAACCATGCTGGGTGTGTGTGTGTGTGTGTGTGGGGGGGGGGGTGTTCAAAATCCCGAGAGGCAAATGGAAGATAAGAGATTGCGGCATAGCTCCTGGGTGCTGATTTCTCACTTTCTCTCTCTCTCTCTCTCTCTCTCTCTCTGGTGAGTGCATGTATCCTATGACAAAAACAAAACAAAACTAAAAAAAAAATACTATATAAAAACATAACCATTCATATGTTTATAGACAAAGAAACTGAGGTTCAGGGTGGTTGACAGCTTGACCGAGTCACGTAACAAACATGCAACAAAACTGGGATTCCAATCCGAGGTCTTTTTAAAAATTTTGTGCTGTCTCCTCACAGATAAAACAAACCTCATCCAACATATACAAGGGATCTCTAAATATGAGGACTGTTCTCCAATCAGGATTTTTTGTTTTTCAATCTAAACAGTTACTTACTGACTTTTATTTCTGTTTGGATTTTCCCTATAGTTAATGTCAAGGTTTCTGCAAAAATACATCATCACAAATTATTTGTAAAGGGATCACATGCTTTTATTGTCAATACTTAAGTTTTAAATAAAAATAAGTTTCAAATTTAAATAAAAATATTTAAGTTTTAAATAAAATAACTTTTAAAAAAAAGTTACCTGTTATATTCATAACAAATTTTGCTTTAAACTTTTAACTCAGTTTGTAAACTTCACCATATTTGATCTTTATGGAATTTTTGCAACAGGGTTTGGCTAAAAGAACTCAAACCAGAATTTTATATTGCTTTTAAACAGAATTTTATGAAATGTAGTTGACTTCAAAGCCGTCATCTTGAGAGATTATAGATAGTGATGTTTGGATTATTCATTTATTAAAACATAGTAAGAACTTATTCTATATCAGGGAATCAAAAAATTTTTGAAATTCCTTTTACATATTTCCTGTAAAGCCAGTTAATGAGCTATGCAGGAAGCATATTACTTCATAGTCTTTTAATATGTCGACCCTCAACCACAATTAAACAATTTGATCATACTTTCCATGCAATAGAATTGGCTTCTAGAAAATTTAGCCTAAAATTAAAATGCAACTCCAATCTCAAAGGTTGATGAATCATCAAGTTGAAGAATTATCAAATTGAAAATATGCCAAAGATTCCTTTACTTACAGGGCATAACTATTTTGGTGTTATCCCTTGGCAATATCTAATTACCCTGTTTTAAATACCACCTTTCTTTCTGCACTTGTTATAAACTTTCTCTGCATTGCTTTTCTTCAGAGTACTTATAACTACCTAGTAGCTATTTGTGTCTCACTGAAATGAAGAGACTTAAGAAGGCCATGAAAAAATGAAATTGAGGGACCAGCAGTTACCGTAATGGCTATGTTGCTGGGCTCCCACATAGTCAACCGCGGTTTGCGTCCCGGACCCAGTGGCTTAAAACTCATGCCAGGTGCGTGTGCGTGCGTGCCCAAGATCCCCAGAGGAGAATGGAGGAGATGGGATTGCGGCGTGGCCATCCCCCCTGGGGGCGTGATTTCTCACTTTCTGTCTCTCTGTCTTTCTCTGTCTGTCTGGCGAGTGCACGCACCCTAGAGCAAAAACATCTCCAAAAAGAAAAAATAAAAAAGAAAAGAAAAAATGAAATTGAGGTATATGTTTATTTTGGTGCAAAATTTTCAAAGTCCATGCATAGCTTTTGTTGTTGTTGATGTCTTATAACATGCACTTTCTCTGAACCTTTCAAATCCCTTCATAAAATGTGGGTCCCAACATAGCAAAGACTTCATACATCTTGTTTGTTGCTGTGTTCCCAATATTGGAATAATGCCCAACATATACCACAGTAAGTTAACCAAATTAGATAAGTATACTTGCATTGAATTATGTAATTGTGCAACTGAGGCAAAAGCTTTTGTGTCAAGTCATGTAAACCTTCATTTCATTTATTCAAAACCGGCTTACTCACCCTTCCGTGTAGCAGTCATAGCAATGCCTTTCCCTCATCTATCAGGCTTGTCCATTTTTGCTTAAACTCCTTCAATGGGACTTTTCTGGGACACGGTTGTGGAAACAGCCACAAGCTCAGTGCCTGCGCATAGGTGGTTCCCTCTACTTAGAATGCGCTTCCCCTGGGACCAGCAGTTAGTGTAATGGCTATGTCGCTGGACTCCCATGTAGTCGACCCGGTTCGCGTCCCGGACCCAGTGGCTTAAAACTCACGCCGGGCACGTGTGCGTGCGTGCCCAAAATCCTGAGAGGAGAATGGAGGAGAAGGGATTGTGGCGTGACCATCCGCCCTGGGGGGGTGATTTCTCACTTTCTGTCTCTCTGTCTGTCTGTCTGGCGAGCGCACGCACCCTATAGCAAAAACCTCTCAAAAAAAAAAGGAAAATAAAGAATGTGTTTCCCACTTCCAATACCCGAGGGACTTGCTCCCTGCCTTTGCCATTGTTCTTGCGCCCTATCTAAAATGAATTTCTTCCCTTCATCACCTTTGACTCCCTTCCCTTTTAAGAATCTCCTTCAGGCACATCCAGGTGTACGGCTATGCGTTTCTATCCTTACTGTCTGTTTCCCACTACCGTCGTGCAAGCTCATGAGGTCAGGGAATGTTCATGGCCATAACTTTAAAAACTAGAGCAGCGCCTGCCCTTGAATTCATTCATTGAATGCACTAATCGACTTCCTGCTGGGCCACACTTTTTGCTGTAAGGTGATGTTCTGAGTGATGTGGTCAAAACCCAGAGGGCAGTCCAGTGTCGTGACCAGTGAAAGGCAGGTCAATTCTAGCAGGATAGAATCTGTCTAACAGATCCAAGATGGGGACTACGAAAATGAGGATTAAAGGACAGCCAGGTAATCCACCATATTGTGTAAGACAGGGTATTTGGGAGTCATGCAAACTCCAGTGGACTTAAGAGCCAAGGAAATATACCAAGCAAGGTCTTCCAGGTGTCACACAATTGCTACATGAGGAAACCCTTTCTTTGTAAAATCTACTCCAAGAATCAAAGAGGCAAAATCTTCGGCAGAAATGGACTCTAAACATATTGGCTGCAGTCACACTGTGACTTTGTGTAATTTTTTTTTTTTTTTAGAGAATTTTGCTATAGGACATGTCAGCTCACAGGAGAGACAGAGAGACAAAAAGTGAGAAATCACCCCCAGGGGGATGGTCACACTGCACTCTCTTCTCCATTCCCTTGTCAGGATTTTGGCATGAACAGTGTGAGTTTCAAGCCATAGGGTCCAGGACTTGAATCACAGTTGGCCATGTGGGAATCCAGCGCTTTAACTACTATACCACCTGCTAGCCCCCATAGTGCAAAGAGAAAGTTGGCAGTACTGGCCTTTGAGAGTATAGTATTAATATGTGTTTACCTTCTCTAATGATCCGTGAGCTCCTGGGAGAAGAGACTGCTTGGTTCATCTGTCATTTCCAGTGCAAAGTTTACATTTTTGGAAAACATTTGAAAGAAAAAGTGAAAAAACAGAATAAATAAATTGGATCATCACTATCTTCTTGCCTATTCCCAAGGGTATGGAGAAAAACACAGTCAGAATGTCCCCTTCAAAACTTATTGATATAAATCTTGTTACATGTTAAATGGCCAAGGGGTAAGACTAACTCTACCCATTCTCAACCCCAGCACTGATCCTTCTAATAGCAAATTCATACACCCACAAGTTCGCACTTCTCACACAGAATAGCAACCAACAAAAACCGGAACTTTAAATCACTGCTCTTAGAGACTTAAAATGAGCTGTTAGGCCATTCATATGGCTCCTTAATTCCTGCTAGAGCAAGAGCCCTCAATTTGCTCTAATTTAGAGAGTGACATCTTCTTAATCAAAAAACTTCCAACTAGGAAACCAGCAGTTAGCATAATGGCTATGTCGCTGGACTCCCACGTAGTCTACCGCGGTTTGTGTCCCGGACCCGGTGGCTTAATACTCACGCCGGGCGCGTGTGCGTGCGTGCCCAAGATCCCGAGAGGAGAATGGAGGAGAAGGGATTGCGGCGTGACCACCCCCCCTGGGGGGTGACTTCTCGCTTTCTGTCTCTATGTCTCTCTCTGTCTGGCGAGCGCACATGCCCTATAGTGAAAACCTCTCCAAAAAAAAAAAAAAAAAAAAAAAAAAACTTCCAACTGGGAAAAAAACCTTTGTCAAGCTTTCCCTTGACAAACCCTTAAGTACTTAAAAAATAAATGAATTTGGGACCAGCAGTTGGCCTAATGGCTATGTTGCTGGACTCCCATGTAATTGACTGCGGTTTGAGTTCCGGACCTGGTGGCTTAAACTCACGCCGGGCGCGTGTGCGTGCGTGCCCAAGATCCCAAGAGGAGAATAGAGGAGAAGAGATTGTGGCGTGGCCATCCCCCCTGGGGGGGGATTTCTTGCTTTCTGTCTCTCTCTGTCTTTCTGGCGAGTGCATGCGCCCTATAGCAAAAACCTCTCCAAAATGAAATAAATAAATTTATAAAAAGAACACTAATAACTGTTCTCAAAAGTTCTGGCCATTACCCAATCAGGTAAGTTTAATTAATGTATTTGTTTTAAAGCACACATTTGCTTCAACTTTGGATGAAATATGTGACCTTGTTGATTCTCAGGGACAATACTGAGTGCTTCACTTTGGGGTTACCCTTTCTCAGAAGCTCCCTGGGCTACAGCAGCAACCTCAGATAATCATCACTGTGGGCTTTCCCTGACGTTGCCGTTCATTTCTTTAGTTTGTCCTGTACTGTGACTACTGCAAAACAGGAAGTACATAGATGCGGCGTAAGGCCGACTTTATTTGATTGAGGTCTACAAATGGAAAAGAAAAGTACACAGCAACCTCCACCACGTGGATATTATCTGGGTCTCTGCACAAGAACAGATATGATAATATGGCTCTGTGAATTTTCTTTCTGGGGGATCACAGAGCAGGAGAGGTGGTTTCCCTCCAAGACCACACTGAAGAGCCCCATATGCCTACCCCATTTTCCTTTTTTTTTTTTTTTTTTCTCATTTCCTCTTAAGCAAATGACTTTTCAGGCAATAGAGTGGTTTTGAATTCCGTTCAGTAACATCCACTGAAAGTTACTTTGTGCAAGAGAAACTGCGTGTGACAGAAACTGGGTTTCTCTAGTGTGTGTAAAGGCTGCTCCATGAATCGAAGAGGCAAAATCTTCAGCAGATTTGGTCTCCCCGAGTTTCATAGCCTTAGACTAGTGGGGTGGTCTAAGCACCCCTCTCCGAGTACTTCCTTATATTTACTCCAACTTTCATCGAGCAACTACACCCAGTCCTAATTTCTCTAAACCGATTCCGGATTGCTCATTCTTTCCTTCCTTCTCCAAGTTACTCTACAACCAGTGTCAGATAGTTTCCTGTCAGTGGATTCCTGAATCAGCATTTCTAAAATCTACTTTATTTTTACTTTTTTGAACTTTCTCTGACTCAACATTAATCTGTCCCTCTCAGATATCGCTCCTCTCTCTACAACTAACTGGTTGTTTCTTGGGCTGCAGAAGACAGATAAATAGAAAGACTTAAATGGGCAGGGGGGCATTTTAATATCAGTTCTTAAATCATGAAGTAGAACTTGAGAATCATGATAGACTGTAAATTGTTATGGGCTTCTCCAGAAAGGGGCTGATGTGAACTTGTTCCCTTACAGTGTTAGGCATGCGCTCCAGGGGAACATTTCTCAGGTCCCAGGTAAGGGTTAGGCATTGAGTTGGAAAAATCCTGAACAAGCACAAAAGGCTCCACTTCTCCAGTGAGTGTGGTGAGGAGGAGGCAGGGGAAGCTGGGGTGGCTGGCCTGGTGGCCTTCAATGGTGGTGGAATTTTAGGTCCTTTCTGACATGTGTGATTGGCGCGCCATCTAGTGACTGAAGTTCACAGAATGAAACAAGCAGAGGTCGGGAAGACAGATGCAGCTCATATTAGGGTTGGCTTCCCTTCTAGTCAGCTTCGGGTTGCTAAAGTGGCTGAATTGCAACTTTAATAGCGCAGATGTAATGAATGTGCATCATTGGGAGGTTGATGGAAAGCATGAGATAGTCAAAAAAAAAAGGTACTTTAAGGACCTATTGAGAAAGGCAAAGGGTACAGTTACACAATTATTCCAGATGGAGGACTCTAAAAGAATAAGTGCTCTTATCGAGCCAGTACATGAGACTCTTCTATGAACATGGGAAACACAAAATGGAACTGAAGGAAGAAAAAAAAGAGATGGTGCGAATAGGGAATGAAAGCAGGAGGCAAGGTAACAGCATGCTTTGTAGACAATTCTAAACCCAGGTTCAAATTTCAGAGCTACCACTTGCTATTGGGCTGTCAAAAAGTTGTGACACGTTTTTGCATAGGAAAACGTAGAAAAAACACGTCGTGACTTTGACAACCCAATATTTGTGTGATAGTAATTTATTTGAATTAAGCGAGCCTCAATTTGTCCATCTATAAAACGGGGATCATCTACTTATTTCCAAGGGTTGCTGTGAGTGTTAAATGAAAGAATATATGAAAGTGCCAAGCCCAGAGCTCCCCAGTAAAACACTCAGTAAATGGCAGTTATTGATAGAGAAAGAGCAAAGAAGACAGAAGGGAGGAAATGGTGAGAAAGAAAGCAGCATCTAGGATGGTCTGGCTTAGTACAAGGTATTTGATCAAGGTAACAGGTGAATCCCATGAAAGGAGAAATTGCCTCAATCTGTCCGAAGCCCACAATTGGACGTGCATCACTAGTACCTGAAAGGGCACCACAGGAAGGCATTTCTTCTTGCACCCCTCAGACTTCAAGCGATGGATTGAGAGCTCTACTCAGCCCCTATATAGGACTTCTCAGTTATGTACTTAGAACTTAGGTGGAAGAAAGGCAAACATGGCAAGGGGAAGATGAGGTTGATCAAGGGGTACCAAGTAGGGGTGAGGTTTTATCCAATGAGAGATGCCAACGGTGTGGCCTAGCTTGCAAAGAAGCTTCAGAGAACCCTGGCCGTCGTTGTCGATGGTAGCTAATGCTGACTTGACGAGTTAGTATGCCTTTGGAGAGGCTAGAAGAAATACCTAGGTAGCATGAAGCACCTTCCTTCTCCTCTAAAAGCTGAATCCTCATGGCAGATCAAGGAGGTAGATGCCCAAAGCTGCCTCAAGTCTCTGTTTTGGAATCTGATACGACTACTTCTAAAGATTGCCTAAAGTCCTCCAGACATCGGAAGTCTCTGGGGAGCCAAATGTCATGCTACACGCTACACACACACACACACACACACACACACACACACACACACACACACACACGGATTCTTGTTTGCAAGGAAGCCCTTAGTCTGCCTTCTCTAGCCAGAGCACTGAAGCTGGAGATCGTAATGCCCATTCCCTGATGTAACAGCCAAGTGCAATCTCAGGGGAATAGCAGTAATTGCCTGCATTTCTAACCTTTCCCCAGCTTTCTTCCATGCTCAGGAGAAACTCAGATCAAGAACACAGTAATATGATCCCCAATTAGCATAAAATAAAAACAACCCAGTCATGTTTTCCATGGGCTTTTCCAACCTCAGACTAAAAGCATGAAGCAGGGAGAAAGAGATAAAAATATACGTGTGGAACTATAAATATGAATATGCCATCTGTGTATGCACAGCCAAGTACTCTGACCCAAATGGATATCTAAGAAAACCAAACTGCCTGACACCGAAATCTGAGAATTTTCCCCTTCCAAAGTGGAGTGTGAGAACAGACAGGAAGGGACGTACTCTGATTACTTGGTGTGGAAGGGGTTAAGTCCTCAGTCATCCTTTTCTGAAGTGATTTATGAGGATGTGTAGAGTTTCAAAACTTTCCCCCACCCCAAGAACAGCCCTCTCCCTCCTCACCGGGTCCACTCTCAGCATGCTGAAATGGGAAGGAGGCGGTGTTTTGCTGATCTGTTAAATTCTTAGTGAAGTTTCCTTGATTTCCAGTGGCCGCTGTTGTTTGAGTTTGGTTTGGAGCAAAACTGAGGTAGCCCTGACATTTCTGGGGCTGAATCCAGGCAAAAGGAAGGAGGAAAAGAGGGAGAAGAAAAAGAGGAGAGAAAAGGTGGGGAGAAATAAAGGGAGGAGAGGAGCGTAGGAAAAGGGGGAAAAAAACTCACATTCCTGTGTTTTCCCTCAGCCTGGAAAACATATTAATCCCAGTGCTTTTACGCCCGGAAACAAAGGGACAAAGCCAGACTGTGG